CATAAAAAATGATGAACAATTAAATATATTCTGTCTACTTTTTAAAAGGTGTATTTTATAACGTATTATAGTACCAACTAGGTATTGGTTATGGATGACCTCTGGTTAACAAGCATTTCTATGAGGAAATTTTGAACATGTGGCTCTTGCTCAGTGTGATTTCGGAAAAGCATACGGGGTGACTATTTTCACATGAATGTTTTTCAAGCAAAAGAAAACTGAAAAAAGAAAATGCAACAGTAATTCAGCTGTGAGGAACTGAAAAAAACTGAAAAAAGAAAATGCAGTAATTCAGCTGCAGTAATTCAGCTGCAGTAATTCAGCTGTGAGGATTTTCTGCTTGGGGTGCTTTGGAGAGCAGGTCATCTGCTAATCCTTGGCTGCTGCAGTCTCCATTCCCATGCCTACTAAGTGTCCTTAGGCAAGATAGTATAGGAACCACACGCGTGCGTGCGCACACACACACACTTCTTTACTATTTCCTAACACTTAAAGACCAAACAACTACTTGTTTCATAAGGAAGAATAACCAAATTAAAGCTCTAGTCTGGAGATTTGTCATGCAGAGATATAGTGGGGTTCTGTCTGGAGAGGTCAGCCCCTGCTTTTGATTTTTGAGTTGTCTCTCGTGCAGCCTGAGCAAGTCCAAGCTACACCTACACAGGTCCCAACTAATCAATGTTTGGAAAATAGCATCACTGTTCTTAAAGATCTTAGTGCAAAAATAATAAGACCTGAAATTTTGAAAACAAGCCTGAAGTTTTTATCTTTAACTGATAAAAACTAACAAGAAAAACAGATTTTTAAGATGAGCTTTATTTCTCACATTTTTTCCTGTTTGTTGTCCACATAATATACAGCCCTGAAACAGGGAACCTGCTGCCAACACTGTCTCTGTATTGTGAATGGACTCATAGCCCTCAGCTAGTGTATTGAGCTGGAATCCACAGTCATGTAACACACGAGGATAAGTTACAGTCAGTGAGGCGTGATAAGGAAAACAAACCCTGGGTTGTTAAAAGTGCTTTGTTGTACGGGGCTCGGCATCAGGTCATTTCTCACACAATGCAGTGTGCCAGTTTTATACGTGTTTTTCTCTCTATTGCTTTTCCTTGACACACATGATATTCACATACTACAACATTGTAGATTTGTACT